GGATATTCCATGACTACTTGGATAAGTTTGTCATCGTGTACCTCGATGACATACTTATTTTCAGTAAGACTGTCGAGGAACATGTGGCACATCTGGACAAAGTCCTCGACCTCCTGCGACATCATAAGTTCAAGATCAACGGTGAGAAGTGCGAGTTTGGCCGCACCCGTGTCTTATACTTGGGTCATGAGATTTCTGCGGAGGGATTAAAGCCCAATGACGCGAAGGTGGCCAGCATTCGTGATTGGCCACGTCCTCAGTCTGTGACTGAGATGAGATCTTTCTTAGGGATGACAGACTACTATAGGACTTTTGTTAAGAACTACAGCATAGTGGCCGCCCCTTTGACTGATCTGACCCGCCTTGACACCCCTTGGGAGTGGACAGATAAGTGCGAGGCTGCTTTCAGACATCTGAAGCATGCACTGACGCACTATGAAGTCTTGAAACTTCCTGATCCTGACAATCCGTTTATAGTCACAACGGATGTCAGCCAATATGGCATTGGCGCCGTGCTTGCGCAGCAGGATGGGCCAAAGTTGAGGCCAGTAGAGTACATGTCCGAGAAAATGCCATCTCAGAAGTTGGCTAACTCCACTTATAAGAAGGAACTCTATGCGGTGTACAAGGCTCTCACCCATTGGAGACACTACCTCCTTGGGCGGTTCTTCATCCTCCGGACTGATCATCAGACCCTGAGATGGATGAGAACACAACCGGTACTCTCAGATGCTCTCAAGCGTTGAATCAAAGTCATTGAACAATATGACTTTGACCCTCAGTATGTCAAAGGGGAGTACAACAAGGTTGTTGATGCCTTATCGCGCAGACCAGACTTCTCAGGTGCGCTGATTACTGAGTTCGATCTGACGGGCGATGTTACTCAGTCTTTGGTGGAAGCCTATCGTCAGGACCAGTTTATGTCTGAGATCATACGTAGACTTGAGGCGAAGGATAAGAAGACCTCCGCCGAGTTTGAGTTGGTCAATGGATTGTTGTTCCTAGAGAAGGCAGGGAATAAACGCTTGTGTGTTCCAAATAGCGAGTCTTTGCGTAGTTTGTTTTTAGGTGAGTGTCATGATGCCACCGACCATTTTGGGTACAAGAAGACCACAACCAACTTGCTGCAGCGGTTCTGGTGGCCCACGATGATGAAAGATGCACAGTTGTACGTGGAAACTTGTCAAGTATGTCAAAGAGACAAGCCCCGTACTCAGGCTCCTCTTGGGCTGCTCAAGCCYCTTYCGATTCCGGAAAGGYCGRGTGAAAGTTTGTCCATGGACTTCATGGATACGCTGGTCACCAGCAAGAGTGGGATGAGACAGATCTTTGTCATCATGGATAGGTTTAGTAAGTTTGCTAGATTAATAGCTATGCTAGAAACAACAAAGACCAAGTACGTGATCAGGTTATTTAAAGAGAACTGGGTCAGAGACTTTGGACTACCGAAGTCAATAGTCAGTAACAGGGACGTCAGGTTCACGAGTGAATTGTGGAAGGCCGCTGCAGCTGAACAAGGAACTCAACTACAGATGACTTCTGGAAATCATCCAGAAGCTAATGGCCAGGCTGAACAAATGAACCGCGCTGTGCAACACCTGTTGAGGCACTACATCAAGCCCAATCAGGTAGACTGGGACGAAAAGATTGCTTTAGTCGCCAGTCTATATAACAACGTTGTACACAGTGCTACCGGGACGAGTCCTAACAGCCTACAACTGACATTCAAGCCTAGACTGCCCTTAGACTTCCTACTTCCAGACAACCAGCCAACTGCTACACCGGGCACTTTGGAGTTCGCCTATAGATATGAACAGAAGATGCAGGAGGCTGGAGAACACATGCAGAAGGCGCAAGCAGCAATGATAGAGTCTGAGAATAGACACCGCCGCCCTTCTACATTTCAGGTTGGGGACAGAGTCTGGGTCAAGTCTTCCGAACTGGGACAGGAGTTCGGGATATCCCGCAAACTCATGCCTCAGTACTTTGGGCCTTGGGAAGTTCTAGACGTAGTAGGGACCGATCCTGATGGTCCATCATATGTCATCCGTATCCCTGGTCATCTCAGAACTCACCCTGTCTTTCACGCCTCTAAGCTCGCTGCGTTCAAGGAAACTGGTCAGTTTCCCTCTCGTCGGTCAATGCTGCCCCCAACCATGGACGGAGAAGTCGACATCGATGATATCGTCGACCACAGGGAGATGCCCGTTCAGAAGCCTCCAGGAAGGGGACGTTCTCCAAAGCCAAAACTGCAGTTCCGTGTTCACTTCAGACATCACACGGATCCGAAAGAGGACCGCTGGTTTACTCGGGAGGAATTGATGCAGACCGCTCCTCAAATCGTTGCCCGCTATGAGAAGGATGTATTGAAAGGAAAGCGCCAGATGGCTCAAGATTGATCTTCGCAGAGGACTAATGAAGATATGGAGGAGGGAATGTGAGGCTACGCCCGCTTAGCCCTTACGGGGCCCTATTTGCAACAAGGTCGGCCGCCCTAAGTGAAGGCAGGCACGACAGGCCCTTCGGGCCTCATTCTTCAGGGTACCCCGCATCGGGGAAATTCAGACAGTTGCGTTGCGCCAGTTGGTTGAATGAATCCAGGCCCTGGGCCGCTTGTGTAAAAAAATGAATGTGAAGCAGGCCCTAGGCTGGATACGGGTACCGGGCCAAACACAGGCCGAAAGCAGTTGGGCGCATGCAACCACTTCAGGCCCAAGGCCTGCTCTCTTCCTGACTGGGCCTGTGCCTACCGGGGCCTACCGGAAGCTTCCTGGACTGGACCCAGGCAGGCCACTTCGATATAGGGAAGGGCCTGCCTCCTCATTGGGCATTCGGGTGCTGGCTGCATGCTGCGTGAGCGTTGCTGCGCTATCCACTGGCTGGCTGGCACTCACGCTCTCACGGGCGAGTAGGAGGGAGCACACAGCCATAGCCAAGCTGTGCTGCTGTATGCTAGGTGAAGCGCAGGGTGGTCCTTGGGGTGCTAGTGGCATCTGTGCGGTGTGGATCGGGATTGTGAGTGTTACGAGAGACATACCTGGTGCTGAAGCGTGCGACATTGGTCGCCATATGCTCGTACTTCGGGAACGCTGTTGATGTCATCATTCTGCTTCGTAGTATAGGCTAGATAGGATCTGCCACMTGTAGTCTGGGCGYYGAGCGCCAATAGGATATCAACTCTGGTTCGTAGTTGATGATRATGGGACTACTTCAGCATTGTCAATTTTGAAYTCTTGGTGTGTTCTTATTTGGTGTATCTCGTGATGCAAGTCTGCTGTGGTTCGAGGTCAAGACTATCTGGGCTCATATGTATGATGCTGTTTGATTGCTGAAGTTCGCTAATGCTCATCTTCCTTGCACATTAGCTTCGAACTCCTGAATCCGCTGAAAAGCGGCCGCTCTTTGAGCTGGCGAGTATCGGTAAGGAGCGCAGCTAATGGGTGGATGTTCTCCCGTAAGGATGGCATGCTCGATCACGTTAGTCAAGCCGATATCATTATCATGCACGCTCAGCACCTCTGCATAACCGTTCAAAACATTGATTAGTGACTTTCGAAGTTTCGTGGGGACGTGGCTCGGTAGGGTGATCGTTGATTCCCCAGGAGTCTTAAGGGGTATGTCGATCCAATCAACCGGCCGCTCCCTTCGATCGTAGACACTTGAAAAGACAGAACTACTGGTGCGAACAAAGAAGACAGTCGCAATCATCTGTGATTCGGCGGGGCTGATCATTTCTGTTTCTTTACTTTCGGCGTCAGTTTCTGAGTCGACCGAAATCTGCTTCACAGTCAGTCCCGTTAGGTCCGTCATCTCCTGCATTAGATCAGGCATGTCATCTACCGGTGCTTCTGCTTCCTGTTTAATCAAAGCGATGGTCGCCCCCGTTGTTAGTAACGATCTGGGCGGGAAAGCAGAAATGTCTAGATACTGTTCCGTTTGTTGATAACGTGTTCGCAAGGAAAGTGCTCCCTCGTACAAGGTACAAGAGGGTTCCAAATCATCAGCCAGGTCAGACACTTGTAATATGGGTTCCCTGAGGAGGACTGAAGGACTGACCTGGGTTTTTGGAGGCGCAAGCGCGCTGTCTCCTGAATCCACAAGGAAGCTTCGAGCAGTGTCGGGGCACACTCGAAATTCTTCGGGAATTTCGTGTTCGAAAAGTTCGACCAGGTGTTTCCATTCATCCTCACTAGGCAGTTCTTCTTTGTATTCCTGTTTCCCGATTCTGCTACCGATGTCCGAGGAAGAATACTCCTCGGGATCAACGCATCGAATCATCCCTACTTGGGCTAAGTTAGGAGTTCGTTTTATCGTTCGGGTGGAAATTCGCGAGGGAACAGTTTGAGGTTTTCCCCCAGTTTGCGTGAGCACCAGTTGTTTTGAATCGAAATGCAGACGGGCCCCTACCGCCATCGCCCAAGGTAATCCTAATAGTACGGAATAGGAGCGCACATCTATCACGAGTTCGTTAACGAGGACGTGTACTCGTCCAACTTTTACAGCCACATTCTCAATAATGCCCATGATGTTCATTGCTTCCTCGTCGACAGAGACATAATTGTCTTTGCCAGATTGAGGAAGAATGGATCCGAGTCGTCCCGTCTTCCTGACAGTGTCTAATGAGATGGCCACTGCAGAAGACCCTGTGTTGATAAGGGCGTTAAACGGCTTGCCCCAAAGGGCCCAAACTTCACAATCACATTCCGCGCTCTTCCATAGTACCGGTCGAGCCCGTACGAAATGATCCTTCTCTACTAACGAGATCGCAGCTACTCGTGCTGCTTCGAGTTCACCCGTTTCAGGTTCTGGTGGCGCAACATCCTCTTTTTCCTCCTCCTCCTTTTTTAACATTCGCTGTATGCGCTGGTACATGAAGCGCTTTTGATTCTTCTGACATTATTGTAACAGTTTGTCGTTTGCAGCTTCAGATATGGTGAGCAAGTGTCCCACTGGAATCGGAACACGGATATCTAGCTGCTTGAGCGCTCGTAACACATCGATTTCGCCTGTCCTAAATGTGGACCTGGATTAGAATCGCGATCGACCTATTCAAGAACATCAGGGGCCGATCGGATCGCCCCGATCATGCCCGCTAGGTGAAGATACTCGAGTGGATCGACCACGTCAGCAGCGTCAGAGGAAGAAGATCTCGATGTTGACGTTATTGCCATTGAGAGGGAAGGCTGCTCATATGCAACGAGTTCTCCTCCTTGGGCCGTGTCCATCAATGCGGCCATTCGTCCTTGGTTTAGAGCAACAGGGGCCGCGGCCGGCGGGGGTTGATTACGTTTTGGTTGCGGACAGTCCCGGGCAAAATGTCCGGGCTGTTTGCAGTTAAAACACTCGATCTTTCCTGCTGGATTAGCCGGGTGAGGGAATTGTGGTGGATAGCTAGGTGCAGGCGGGGCAGGCAAGGGAGGAAATGACGCGGGGGCAGGTCGAGCAGGGGCTGGGTTGGGCTTAATTAGCCTGCTCATTATTTGTTCCATTCGCTCCATGTGGGCTGCCTGCATTTGAACCAGGTTGCTCATCCATTCAGATTGCTTAGTAGTGGCCGTATGGATCATTTGGGCAAGATGTAGGTTTGTTACGGCCAGCGAGGGAGGTTCGTGGGAGATTCTGCTCTTAACTGCCGCTATCGGTTGATTCGTTGGGGGAGAGGAAGGAGAAACGGGCAGGATATTGGAAGTGATCCCGTCGGGAAGGTCATGGTCGGGGCGGGGATAAAAACGTTCTACCGCCCGCAACCACGATCGCCTTTTAGCTGCTACATCATGTATGGTGTCCGTAATATCTTCTGATCTTCATCTCCCTGACTGATATATTTTTTTGTATCAGCCAGGTCTAATTCCAACGCTTTAGCGATGATAGCGGTTAGCTGGTGTGTCTTTGGCGGGACCTTTTTTTGTAACTTCCCTTTCAACGTCGGACTTCGTAGGTGATCGATGAACAAGTCTCGAGCGGATTTCTCGTCTCGCCCAGATTTGTCCAACGTGGTTTGAAATCGATCCACGAAATCGGGCAGCAATTCCCCTGGTCCTTGTGGCCGAGTTTTGAGCACGTACCAGGCAACATCTTCACCGACCGTATCGAATCGAGCCAAGAATGCTTTTCCAATCTACCCACGTGTGCTTCCTGAACCAGTCATGCGCCGTATTCCGAAGCAGCAAGGTAAGAATGCGGGGAAGCTCACCTGCGCTGTATCCTTGAGCTTCGACGGCTTCCGCCCAAGCTTCAGGGTGGGTATGATTAGGGAAGAAGGGGAAGGGGGCGGAAATGCTAACCACTACCCTATTACCGTCCACCATTGGTATAGCTGGTATAGCAGCACCAGATATAGATCTGGTCACTGGACGATCTCGGCGAGCGGGTGGGGGACTTCTCCTACCGCTCGCCAGTTCGACTTACTACCATCAGAACGGACACGTGTCGGCTCCGATACCAATCTCACGCCCTACGCTGTCTTTCGTTCGGAGTACTAGATGTGCGAAAAAAGGCCCAGAAAAACATCAAGATGGGGTGTGCCAAGGATTTTTGGAAATTGAGTGTGGGGACACAGACGAAACTGGAATCCCCCGTGTTGGTCCGATGAAGTAAGTCGGCTGCTTTCGCGCGTCGCGGAATGCACGCGTGGGCACAGCGTGAAAAGAGAAAAATCCAAATTCAATCCAAAAAGTATTGTCGAGCTTCCCACCGTGCTACGGCCCGTCGTTTAGAGCGGAAGGGCTTTGGCACGCTTCGCGTGTCTCGTTTTCGTATCAAATCCCGTCGTCGCTCGCTGGTCAGTTCCGAGTCCGATGTGGAGGGTCTCAGCCCCGTGGCTCTTTCCTTATGCTCGTCTTCACTCCGTATTCGGTAATGGAAGCCCTTTGCTTCGTAGCGATCGAAACGCTAGCACTCTGTGCACAGGGTTCGAGGCCAATGGGACGCCACTGCCGTCCACAAAATGACGATCAGCTCGTTAAAGGGGAGCAATATTGAGTAGGGTGGAAAGTGCGTGTCGATAATAACAAACCAAGCCTCTACGAACCCCGAACAACGGCTTGCCGGAGGGAAGTAGTATCGTCCGCCGATCTGTGCGACAGCTTCTCGTACGTCCCACTCCCATACACGTGTCCTTTCCTCGTTGTAAGGAAAAGGTCGTGTTGATACGAGAGGTGCGGGAGGCTGGCGCCCGATCGAAGGGTGCTTGTCAGTCCACGTGTCAATCAATTGCAAAAACTCCGAGACGTCATCAAGAAAAAAAACAAGAAACACTCACGCAACCACCAATCAATCCTTTTCAATCACGAGAGAGAGAGAAAACACTCATCAACTAGATCATGCAGGTAACTGAGGGACCGGCCCGCGACTCATGTTTCGTAAGCCACCGCGGCGTTGATCCCCGGGCGCCTGGTTTCTCAAGGCTGCCCTGTAGATCGGTTGCAGATGTCGTGCAGCATAAGGTAGATGG